GCAACGCTTCTTACCTGCCCTTGTCAATCAGAGTAACTTCAATTCTTTAAGATCCAGCTCCAATGTCAACTCTTGTGAAACCTTCCTTGATTCCCAAAACAGAATTACTCCCTCTTCTGTTTTCTCCATAATTGTTGTACGTGTTTGTTTTCATTTATTTGTAAAGCATTTATTGAATGCCTATTGTAAGTCAGGTATGGTGTTAGGGGGCAGAGGTAGAAATATAGACAGAGCTTTTAATAAAGAGCCTGGTCTATTAAGGCAGAAAGACATCTAAAGCAATCATAGTGTAACAAGTTCAGTATTACCATGGTGATACAGAGACCGGGTTAACATAAGAAAAGAGTAAAAAATTCTTGGGTTTATGGACCATTGCTCACTAACTTTAACTGAGTCAATTCTCTTAACACTATAAATTCCCCCCAAATGAAAAATATCTGGAAGTGCCGTTAATTACGTACTTGGACTCCTGGGATGAAAGAAGCTAATAAACAGTTAATTTAACTAGGGTACCCTCACTGGCATTAAGGAAAATAAGTCAAAGTTCCTTTCCCTAAGTTTTTCCAATGAGCCCAAGACTTGCTCTCTAAAAATGGACCTATTAGTACCTCCTAACTACCCACACTTTCCTCAGCAGGGCACCAGTTTGTGTGGGGACTGTTGTCAAAGGAGTATTTATATGGGACTGACACAGAATGCACAATCAGACCTCTGTCTGATGGAACTGCAGCCACTTGAGAGTCTGGAGCGGCAGCCAAGGGATGGGGGCAGTGGGGGCAGGTCTGGTATGTGAAGGAGCAGGAGAAAGAAAAATCCCAATCAGGACTCAGTTCCAATTAAGCTCTCCAACTGTCCTTTCTGCTGAGGATGTCACATATGTCTCAGAACTATTGTTCACTGTTTTTTAATAATCTAACAATATTCTGATTCAGGAATACTGGTCTTCTCAAAGAATCACAAATGTGGGACAGTACAATATAATAAAGACTGAAATTAAGAAAAATCCAAATAAGAAAATTTATATCCATCACCTGTAAATTCAACATGTTCAAAAATCACTCTTCAAAACCAGCTCCATTCCCAATTCCATTTTTTTGAACAAAAAAAAACTTCTCCTTTGCTCATTCTCAGGCTCAAAAACTTGGGGTCATCACAAGTTCTCCCTCTCTGTCAAGCCCTACAACTAGTTAGGCCTCAAATTCCACAAATTCTCCCTTTTCCTATTTCCATTAACTTAGGTAGTTTTTTTTTTACAGCACATCTACTTATGAGGGAGGCCCCCCCCCAAAAAAAAAACCCCAGGAATTATCTTCTGGAGGGCAGGCCTCTTGTAGTACAGGCTTCCCCAGCTAGATGAGTGTTCTAGGAACCCATCTATATCAGTATACCAGTTGGCATTGCTGTGAGAGGCTGTACTCGACTTCAGTAAAATTTTTTGAAGACACTTTCGATGTATTTATCCATTTCATGATAATATATCTGCCCACACAGCACTTTTAAGTGGTCAGCAGTTTTTGACCAAAAATGGCATGACCCCCATGCCCCACCCTCCCTATCACTTGATCTCACCCCCAGCAAGTGACTCTTCCCTCTCTAGGAAAAAAGCCCTCAAAGGAAATCAGTTACTAATGGGGAAGAGGTGGAACGGCAGAAGCACTAAAAGGCATCAAAACTGATGAGTTCTAAAACCATTCTGAGCAGTGGAAAAAAAAACCTCTCGATGGGTGTATTGAATCAAATGGAGAGTACTTTGAAGGTGACTGAAGTTTAAACATGTAAACATATGAGGGGTCCTCCCTCATATGCCAGTCTCCAGGTAACTCTGGTGGTAGGAATAGGAGGGTAAGACGTGGAGATGTGTACAGAAATAGCTACTTAAGCATGTCTGCTAATAAATATACGAGTGGTTGAGAAGTAAGTACCACGGAGATTATGAAGTGTGAGATGATGTCTGGCTGGAGTACTCAGGAAACTCTTAGGGGGTAGTCAGTGAGCACTCAAACTGGGCCTCCACTGCTAGGTCTAACTTTGATTAGACAGAGCTAGTGGAGGGAACTGGGAAGGAAAGCACTCAGGGAATAGCAAATCAAGGTGGCTGCATGGAACTAAAGGTCCAGGAGAGGACTGGTGAGAGTAAAGACTGGGGCCAGGTAGTGGCAGCCCCAGAATGCCTGGCTGAGAAGCCTTTAACCCTTAGACTGCCAGAACATTTCTCTTCCATTGCTTACACCTTTGTATTTGACACTTTCATCAGAACCCAGGTAAAGAACAAAGTTGGTAGTGGCTGAATTTGTGATCAGAGGGTGTTCCTTCTGCGTCTATAACTTGTTGGTGAGGCTGCTGCTGTAGTATGGCTGAATAGATGCTGGTTTCTTCGCATCTTCGCACTGACAAAGCTTGATTTGGGATGGAGGATTAGAAAGCACATTTGATTCTCAGGACACTTCAAAACTGTCAGTCTTCAACAACCTTAACTAAAGCTGTGATCTAGGACTGAGAATATCAATTTAATCTTTCTCAAATTAACTTTCATTATATGACTCCCTTGCTCAAGGATCTACAATGACTCCTATTACCTACAATAGATCATTTACATCCCTCTGCCTGCAATCCAAGGTTATACATAATCCAACCCCACCAAACCTTTCAACCTCATGTTACTACCCGTTACTCATCTGTTACTACCAACCTCCTTTCTTGGAAGAGTTAAATTACAACAGGGCTGGTGTTACAGCCTTACCTGAGCTGAATTAAATTTAAACTATACAATAACTTAGGCCATTTACTTCAGGCAAACAAATATAAATTTTACAAAGATATTTATAAGAAATGGCATTCCTTATTCGTGTCTTGTGTTCTGAATTTGAAAGATTCAAAATTATTGTGCTCATAATATATAAATGTGAAAGAATAGTTCACATTTGTATCAGTGAAATAACACTGATTTGTATCATTTGTTCACATTTGAATCAGTGAAATAACACTGATTTAGCAATGTTCTTTATCTTGGTAGGGGTAGGTATACACATTTTTCAAAATTAGTAAACATACACTTAAAATTTGTACACTTAATGGGATATAAATTCTACACCAAAATAAACTGTAAACAAATCTAGTTAATAATATGACAGCAAAATATTTAGGGGGAAGTTTACTGATAGCCACAATTTAAATGGATGGATAAATATGTGATACAGCAAGTGATATTAAAATGGTAGGCTCTAGATGGTGTGTATGTGGGTTTCTTATGAAATTCTTTAGACTTTGCAGTAAGTTTGAAAATTTTCATAAAACACTGGGGAAAATGACATTGGTAATGCAGTGTACTTGATCACTATAAGCACTGATAAAACACTATACTTCCTGATGCTGTAAGAAGTTAAACTTAAAAAAAAAAAAGGTAAACTTAGTGGAATGGCAGCATCAGGCATCTGCTCCTTGATGCTTCCATGAAATTTTGCATGGGCCTCTCATAGTCCTTTTCATGTAGTGATGGGCACATACCTAATTTGTATTTATATTCCTGTTGCTTTGCATCTGTTTGGAGAGTAATACGTGTTCAATAATTATGAAATGAATAAAGTGGAATTGCTAAGGATCAAAGCATTATACTTCCTGAAAATTCACTATATTAATTTACCACATATTCTAAAAGTTAATATGTTCAATTTTGAAGAGAAGTTCATCCTTTACTTTTCTCCAAGCATGAGAAATTTCTAAAAATAGACAAAACTCATGTTTTCATGAGATTATTTTGTATTCTATTACTTAACACGAGATCCGAAAGCCTCCTAACATTAAAAAACTTATTTTTTTTTCCTAAGAGAGTGATGTCTCAGAATTCCAAGGAAATCGGGAATTTCTTTTATTTATTTAAATCTTAGCTAAGCTGTCTGAACTAAGAGATCCTTGAACTGGTCAAAAGCAGGAAATTGGAGATCTGGGAAAAGGATAAAAACAAATACCACATGAAAAAGTCATGAAGCAAATTAATCAAGAACTTTACCACGAAACGGAGGAAAAGCCTTAAGGAGGATACGCAGAACAACTCAAACTCCCTCAGGCTGGCTTCTCCCCTCTCTCCAATTACAGCCAGGGATCTGGCCGCCCGGCCACTCCCAACATGCCACGCGACTGGAGCCGATGCTCCAGAATATGCTTCTTCTCCTGTCAATCTCCCAGAAACGACATGCTTTCACGGCGTAAGCACCACAGTCTAAACTGGAGTATCTGGGTCCGAGTCCTGGTTCCCCCGGCTGTCTGATCTGCGAGTCTCTGGGCCTATTTCCTTACGTGTGAAGTAGTAATACCTCTCCTAAGCCGGGCCGGCGCACAAGGTGGCTATAAAAGATGAGGGGAGTAAAGGCACTTTAAGGAAGATGCAAGGGACTATCAGTTTGTTACGGTTCCTAAGTACACGATGCTCACAACCTGACTCGGACCAATCTCTCAAAGACACCGCTGTCCCTCACTCCCATCCCGCTCCGCCACAGTGCTGAGGCCGCTCCCTTCGGTCGGCCCCCAAGAGGAAGCCGCGCGGCGACGTCTGGCGTACCTGCAGCCACTTGGTCAGCGGGGCCTTCCTGCTGACCCATGACGAAGTCGTACACGAGGCCCCACAGGGCGCCCGTGGGCGCCACCGCCTCCAGATCGGCGGCGGCCGCCGCCATGACGCGAAAAGGAGACCGTGGGAGGGGAAGTGGGCTGTGGCTCGGAACAGGCCTCTCGGCGCACGCGCCTACTGAACCAATCTTCTGGCGAGGATTGAGGGGGCGGGGCGCTCCCTGGATCACGTGCTGTGCCGGCTCCTGGCAAGGCAGTTTCAGGGAGGAGTGGGACAGTTCTTTCCCCGAGGGGCGGGGCCTGGAGTCGGCGTTGTGGCGCGGGGAAGGAAGGCCACTTCTGGGCATGCAGCCGGGGGCCATTGAGTGCAAGTGATTTCTGGCCCGGCTACCCCGGAAACGGGTGGCGGGGCGGGCACCTGGCTGGGTGGGGCCGAGGGGCGGTACGCACCCTAGGGAAAACCAATGAAAAAATCAGGCCTGCCCGAGGGGGCGGTGCCGACGGTCACATGCGCACCTGCGGCGGGTGGTGGCGGCGCGGGCACCGCGGGCCGGCGACTACGAGCGGGGCTGGGCTGGGGCGGGGTTAGGCAGGTGAGTGACAGGCTCCGAGGGGCTGGCCCCAGCTGGTAGTCTTGAGCTAGCCGGGTGTAGCTGTGGCGGTGCCCGCCCCCTCTCTCCGCCCCTTCAGTGGAGCTGCTTTCTGGCCGGGCACTGTCGCGGGCCCCCCTGGCCCGGCCACCTGGGACTGTGTTGGGGAGTCGGCCACCTCCCTCTCTCCCCTCACCCGCAACCGCAAAGTTTGTGGCGAAGCCGGCGCTGGGGTAGAGCGAGCCCCCGGGGGAGATCGGGGAGCAATCGATGAGGGGCGGCAGGAGCCGTTGACCCCGGACGCCGCCGTCCGGGGTAGGAGCGCGGAGCAGTTGACCAGCTCGCCGCCTCTGGTGCATGGGGGCCGGCTGAGGAGCCAGCATGGGCAACTGCGTGGGGAGACAGCGCCGGGAGAGGCCGGTCGCCCCGGGACACCCCCGCAAGCGAGCAGGTAACAGCGGGGAAGGGAGCGGGGCTACGGGCGCCCTGCCAGTTGTCCCCCTCCTTGCCCAAGTCCTAGGTTTCCCGAACGACCTCCCACGGCTCCGGGCGCCTGGCTTTCCCCGAAGGTTGCTCCCGAGCCAGACGAGGGGCCCCCTCCCTATCCCTGGTGGCTGGGGAAGCCGAGTTGGGGCAACTGGGAGCGCTGACCCGGCTTCGAGCTCAACTCGCTCCAACTGGGAAGCTCCGGGTGGGAGTGGGGGCGGGGGCAGGAAATGTTTGCAGACCGCAGCGGGGCCGGCGGAGGGGAGGAGGGCTGGGGCAAGGGCGCCGCTGGCTTGGCAGCCGGGCCGGGGTCGGATGCCGGCCGGTTGGGACACAGCGCGGGCGTCCGACCGTCCCCAGAACTCGGAGCGAGCGAGGCGAGAACAGTCGGTCCTTCCAAAAGACTGTCTGTGTCATTATCCGGCTGCAGATCGTGTCTGCCGGAATCCGACTTGCTGAAGCACCGCAGGACTCTGGGAAAGAAATCTTTATTTTTCCCGCAGGGCGTTTTAGAGCCTCCTTGCCTTCTGGGAGTCTCGGAAAAGTGGGGTGTGGGGTGGGAATCGCCCTCGGGTTTTTGGGATCTTTCCCAGCCACGGGAATGGGATCTGCTCACTTGGTGATCCGCGAGGGCCGGGCAGCGCCGTCTCACTTTCTTGGTACACTCCTATCCTGGCACTTCGCCCTGGGAAGAGAGCTGACGGTCGTTTCTCCAGGTCTAGTACTTAACTTCCTTCTCTGAGGATGTTGCAAGGACCTTCTGAGAATGATAAAATCGTGGCCGTTTGAGCTGAAAGACACCTTTAAACTTGTCTAGAGTCCAAATAGAACCTATCTCCTCCTATCTATGAAAAAGCCTATATCCAGAGACGTTGAGCAACTTGCCCAAACCCACACAGCTAGTTAGTAGTACAACTGGGGCTAGAACACAATCTCCTTTTCCACCCAATTGCCACATATCCCTTTGTGTAAGAGGAGCCACAGGCAGAGTGGTTAATGAAGTGGAAACTCTAGTTGGAGTTTCCTGTCTCCTTTAACACCAAAGGTGTGTTGGGACGATGCGGAAACTGGGAAGGAGGGTGAGGGAAACAGGGAAGGATGTCTGTATGGTGGACAGGATGACTTGTGGAAGAAGAAATGTGTTTTTTATGGGGGGGGTAGGCAAAATTTAACATTGAAATCCTCTTGGCAACCCTGGCCATTCTGACTGAGGAAAGTTGATTTTCAAAGCCAAGGGCTTTCTTCCATTCATTCATACATTCATTCCACAAATATTTATTATTTATGTACTCAGTTCACATAATTGATTTTGTCGCATTTATCACTGTTGACAACCATCTCCTACTTGAAACTCTCCCCTTCCCTTTTTGGCATTAGACTATCCTGGTTTTTTGCTCAGATCACTCCTGGGTGTGGACATACTCTGGGTCAGTTTGACAGTCTGTTTCTTTCTCTCATTATAGTCCCTCCCAGAGAAATCTTACTCAGTTCCACAACTCTGTCCATTAGGAAGACCCCTATACTGGATCTTCAACTATTTTCTCTCAAACGTTAGACTCATATCTCTAAAATACCCACTGGACACTCTGATGTAGTTGTCCTCAGATTTAGCACTTCTAAAATCAAGCTCTGCATTTCTCCCCTTCAGCCAGTTTCCCTTTGCTCTTCCATTCTTGCAGCCGCCTAACTTCATATGTTGAAGACTTCTCTCTGCTGACTCCCAGAAGCTTCCAGGTCTCTGTCTCCCAGCCAGTCAGTCACTGGGACCTACTGTTTCTTCCTTCAGCAGGTCTTATAAACCTGCCCCTCTCTACTTTACTTCACGTCCTTGTCACCTCAAGTGCAACTCATCTCCCAGGCTGACATTAGTTCCCCACCAAAGGCAAGTTCATCTTCAGTCATTCATTCAGTGCCTGTACGCGGTAGGCCCCCCAAAAGACATTTGTTAAATTAACCTGGTCTAAACCATATAGTTCTGTGTTCAGAAAAAAATTTTGCAAAAAGTCCTTCCCTATGTCTACAAGAAGTTTAACTCTCCAGACTGTTCAAGTTGGGTCTAGTCCTTCTTTTTAAGGCATGGTTTCTTTCTCTTCCCTGACAACAGGCCACCAGTGTTTGCTGATGCTTTTTCCCCCTGCATATGAAGAGCCTTTCTTCCCTTCAAGGTCCACCTCAAATCCAATATTTTTTAAAAAGAACCTTGCCTGACAATTTCACCCCCACCCCAATGGACTTGATTGCTTCTTCTTTTTTATAAAAAAAGATTTTTATTTGTTTTTAGAGACAGGGAGGGAGGGAGAAAGAGAGGGAGAGAAACATCAGTGTCTGGTTGCCTCTGACAGGGCCCCCACTGGGGACCTGGCCTGCAACCCGGGCATGTGCCCTGACTGGGAATTGAATGGGTGACCCTTTGGTTCACAGGCGGGTGCTTAATCCACTGAACTACACCACCCAGGGCTGAGAACTTCTTCAGACACATTGCACCACTTAATTAACAATTATATACTACATATTATTAGTCCTTTCTTTGATGTTTACAGACTTATATCAGCAATTACATTGCAAGCCTTGAAGACTTGGGTTCTGTCTTTTCCACATGTGTGTCTTTCTCACTCATATAACCATCCACGCACACACATACATATACTCAGCACTAGGCACAGTGGCTTGTGCAGAGGATACACTCTATAATTGTTGATTTGAGAAAGCTGACCCAACTTCATCTTACCATCTAAATTTTTCATGTAAACATTTTACTGAGTTATACATCTGCATGTTTACCTCGTAGTGCATCATTGTTTTTTTTTTTTTTTTTTTTTGCAATTCTGTGGGTCTCACTATGAGTAGCTTTATTAATAATATCCAAAGCCAGGGGGAACTCACTCTGTAAAATGACAAGTTTGGTATAAGGGAAGAAATCCTTCTTAACTCAGTGCGCACCTGGCATTCCTGTAACATCTGCTGCTCACCCGTTGACAAGGACACAATTTTATGTTGTAACGCTAATGCCTAAAACTCCCTAGCTCCCACTGTAACTCCTGCATTTCCTTGGTCACTGGTGTAATGGAAGCAGGCCTCACAGAGAGCTAGCATCTATGCTGTAGTCCTAGGCCCATGGTTGGATAACCCTGGACAAATCATCAAACCTCACTGGGTCACACTTTCAACATCTTAGAAAGGGAAGGGTTTATACTACATCCTTAGAGCCATTGGAATCATCTTCACAAAGGCAAGTATTCAAAACTGGAAAGTTATTGAGTTGAAATCTTATGCCTTGTCACCCTTTGTCCTTAGTTCTCTCTTCCTTGTCACTTGATGGATGAAGCAGAGATATAACACCCACTGGTCAGGCAGTGTTGGATTAGCTAGAAGAATTAGGTGGTCTTCTCATCTCATCAAGTCTTGTGGTTATAACTTTATTTTTTTTAACTGTTAATGCAAACCTAGTGGTCTTTGTTCTTCCCTTCATGTGGAGTGGCCCTTATATACTTCAGAGAATACTTGGGGATTTACTCTTTTTTGGGGGGGGCTCCTGCTACCCCATATGTATATACCCTAGGTAGATCAATGTCTCTGACCAAGAAGTGAGTGGGTGAGGCTGCCCCTCCTTTGGCCACCCCTGGATGAAATAGAGGTGGTAGAACAGGCCAATCTCTTGCCCAGCTCCACCCTTTGAGAATGTGGCAGGGCTGAAACCCAGATATCTGACTCTCTGAGGTGCCAGGCATATCCACTTACATTCTGGAATCTCAGGCTTGGGGTGGACAGACCCAGGGTCCTGTTTTGGGTTAGTTGGGCTTGGCTGCAAGTCAGCCTCTCATTGTGTAGGCTGCTGTGGCTATTCTTGAGAGAGTAATTGGGCAATCTCTCCATTTGCTCAGTAAATATTTACTGAGTGCCAGGCATCTTGCTGGCTGTGAGCAGATCTGGTCCTTGGCCACATGGAGCTTACAGTTTAGGGGGACAGATATTAAATATATAGTCATGCAAATTAAGTGTGTTCATACATGAAAATCCTGTATGATTATTTTACAATGATGTATTATTATATATGCTGGAGATGCTCACATTTATCGTTTCAGCCCATCCTCTCCTTACATATTCTGCTGCCTACTCAACACATCCAGTATCTAAAAGGCTTCTCAGTTTAACATGCCCGAAACTAAATAAGTTCTCCTTCCCACCCCTGCCCTTTCCAGACTTGCCGATCTCAGTTACTAGTGATTTCATCTTTCCAGGCGTCTGAGCCCTGACTTCTGCCTTTCTCTCACATCCCACATCCGCTGAATCAATAGATTTTGTTGTCTTTGCCTTAAATATATCCAGAACCTGCATCTTGCCATTTTCACCACTTTCACCCTGGTTTAAGCTACCATCGGCCTCTTAGCTGACCTTGCTACTTCCTCCCTTGTCTCCCGAAAGACTATTTTCAGCACAGCAGGGAGTGGTGCTGTAAATCGTTTAAGTCATATTTTGTTACTCCTTTGCTCCTCATCTCAGTCAAAGTCCTTGTGTTGGTCTACAAGATATGATGTGCCTTCCAACAGCTTAACTGTCTTAAGCCATCTCTTGCTCTTCATTTCATTCCAGCCCCTGATATCCGATTGGATTCCTCCCTCCTTCTCCTCCAGGTCTCCTCAAACATTCCTTTTCAGTTAAGTCCTTATAGGCCATCCTTTTTGAAATGGACCCCCTTCCCTCCGCCACTCTCCTCCTCAACATTATCTACCACCCTTCCCTATTTTTTTTTATGGCACTTACTACCATCATCTGACATCGGCTGTCTCCCCTACTGCATGTGGCCAGAGATTTTTATTTACTCACTCCCTCGTACCTAGAGCAGTGCCTGGCATATAGTGGGTGCCTAATATTGTTGGGTGAAATTAGTGTGTCTGACAGAGCTGGTGAGTTTGCAGAAAAACAGGAATGAGAAGACCTGATTGTGTTCCCGTCTTAAATGGGTGT